GCAGACTTCCCAGGCCTCGCTTTACCCTTCTGTAAAATGGGGATAATAGGAGTATCCCCTCAACGAGTTATGAGGATTAAATGGGAAAATGCACCAGTACTGGCCTCCCAGACACTAACCTCGCGGCGGAGTGGGACCTGCTGCCTCCCTGGCCTTTGATACGCGGTAGAGCACTGCCTGCTGGCTTAGTGAGTGGTGGCTGCTGTATGCAAGGCACCTGCTAGGCGCTGTCTTAGAAACACGGAAGACCTCTGAGACACAGGGGCCTGTGAGCCTTTAGGGTCCATTTTGATACACAGTAGGTCCTCGGGTTATGTCGGAGATCCCTTCCCCTTAGACTTTTCCTTATCTAATAATAGGCATTTTCTGTGCCTAATCAATGTTACTGGTTTATTATTGTTACTTTTGTTCCTGGTATGTAAATGTTATACTAGATGCAGAAAAACAAAACTTGACAAACAGCAGAAAGACTCGGATCATGGTGGCTCAAAAATTAGAAATGATCCAGAATACTTTATAACAAGGACATAGGATCTGACTGCCTCCCATTTACCTGCCCTTTTTGAATAATAATACATTAGGTCCTCGGGTCACGTCCGAGATCCATTCCTAGGGGGAGACGTAATGTGATTTTCACCGTAAGTCGGAACCCACCTACATAAGCACCTACGTCACTCACATGGAGCACATACACAGCAGTAGTGAAGTGAAACAGTAAAAAATAATTAAAAGAAAGATAACAATTCCTGACCTTTACTTGTGGTAAATAAATAATAAAAAACATAAAGCACATATGTACATACATCGAAATGACAGAACTTTTTTTAAATAAATAAATGGGAGATGGTGACGTAACGACGAACATACATCAAGTCTGACGTAACCGAGGACGGCCTGTATATAAAATCAAATCAAAGGGTTACCAACAAAGTCATGGAAACAGTAAGGTCTTCAAACCCAGAGTGGTCAAGGAAGGTCTGCCTGGGGAGAAATACGGCGTTTGATGAGACGTTTAAAGAGAGGGAGCATTGTTTGCTTGTTTCTGTAAATGCCTGTATTTACCATACTGGAAAAAGGCATTCCATAACTATCAGAGGAATATCGAGTGCTTTTAAGTAGATGTGTGGCTTGAAAAAAGTAATTAGAAAATTGGAAAGTAGAGTTTATCTATCTTAGGACCAGGTTCTTCAGTGATACAAAGCAGAGTCTATTAAACCTCTCTTTAGACCAGTGATGGCGAACCTTTTGAGCTCGGCATGTCAGCATTTTGAAAAACCCTAACTTAACTCTGGTGCCGTGTCACATATAGAAATTTTTTTACATTTGCAACCATAGTAAAACAAAGACTTATATTTTTGATATTTATTTTATATATTTAAATGCCATTTAACAAAGAAAAATCAACCAAAAAAATGAGTTCGCGTGTCACCTCTGACACCCGTGTCATAGGTTCGCCATCACTGCCTTAGACCCTGGTCACTTGTCACGTGTGGATGAATGTTGGAAATTCCAGAGGAGTTAGAAGAAGTGTCGTTAGAACCGTTGTTCGTTACTCGTTTTCTGCTGTAGTTCCGAAGTTACGGAATGACTTCGTACGTACAGAAATGTGTTTGGAATGCTCCTCGACTGACGCTTGTGCCTTTGCGTGTTTCAGGTCTACGGGTGCGCCTGCAGGTCCAAGCGCTGCCTCCGGCAGTAACCGCAGACTTCAGCAGACCCAGAACCAAGTGGATGAGGTACTGCTCTGAAAAGCTGAAAAGATGAATTCTCAGTCAACATGGGAACACTCTGGAAATAATTATTTAGGAAGAGTGGCACAGAAGTGTGAACGTAAAGTAAATTCTAACCATATCATAAAAGTAACACACTTTCGCCCCTGCTATTCTGGGAGCCGTGATCTAAGCAGAAGTCAGATTCTCCTGCTTCTGCTTGTTTTCCTGAAACAAATGCCCCTCCCTGAGGGCATTCCTCCCAGAACTGCCTTATAATGTATATTTTCCACAATAAAAAAAAAAAAATGGAAAAAAGAGAACTCCTTTATAAAATAGGGTAATCTAATATTCAGAATTAGACCTATAGGTTGTTCAAGCCAAGACCAACCCTTCTGATCAGATTTTCATTGAAACGCTGTTCTAATAGCCTGACTTTCTATTACTCAGCCTGAGCAGGCCTCTAGCATTAACTCCAGTTGGCGCCCATTGACATGCAGAAGGCAGATGCTGGCACATTGCTCTAGCCCCACAAATCTGCGTTTGT